TGTAGGGAACGAAAAAACGTTTATTAATATAATAACCTGGCAAGCAATGAAACGCTCTTTATCTTCTCCTGGCTATATCTAACTGTCCCGATTCACGGATTGAAGGCAAAGCTCTTCTTTTGCTCAAATCTGCAAATTAGGTTTTCCCAAAGGTGAGTTTTATTTTTCTCTGAAATTTAAGTTTTGGGGTTTCTTTCGATTCGATTCCTGATCCAATTCCATAAATTATCCCTTTAATTTAATTTTTCATGGGCTTCTTATTCTGGCTCCTTTTTTTGATGAAAACTTTACAACTTCAAATTCCACATTAAGAAATTGTGTTAATAGAGGCAAGCAAAATTTGGGTTCTTAGCAGCCAAAGCAACTTTTTGAACGAATGATGGGGCACCACTTGCATCATCATTCTAGCTATTTAATTTCCTTACTTTGCTTTATGGGAACACTTGGAACAGTTTTGAGAATCGAAGTAGGAAAATCATGTCTAAATAAGCATTGTAATTTCCTTTTCTTTTTATAGCTGCCATGGTGTGAGTTTGGGTTGTTTGCACATTCTAGATTCAAATTGCAGTTGTATAAAACGAGCAAACTCCTATTTTCATTTTTGCTCTTATGTGATTGCCAAAGGATGGAAAGTGTTGTTTCCCTTGTTTAACTCTCTGACTTACCTGTTGCTTGCTGTCCTTTCTCTGTGTTTTATGAATTTTGAGACATTTGTTGTGCTGAAATTCGGCTTGCAGGGTTCAGTTTATTGAAGTTTTACAGTTTCGTGGCTTTGAAACAATTACATGGGGACTTGTTTGACAAAGGTGAGAATACTTGGATACTTTAATTGGACTCTCTATCACATATTCTCATCAGAATTTGAAAGCCTAAGGTTTTCCTCCTCTATAATAAATTGTTATCATCAAAAGATCACACTCTTCCGGCGTAGATCATAATTTTGACCATGTCTGTAGCATTTTTTTTCTCCCCTGTACTACAGTTTTCGACGATAATAGTTGAAGGAAGCCTTGCTATTGCAACTTGAACTTATGGTTTTTTTCTATGGCTTTTCTTTTAAATAAACATATTTGCTTGCCAAGTCTAGACCTGAAATTTTACATCTTCAGTTTTCCTTCCTGGAATTGAGGACGTCATCGTAAGTAATCTTTTACCAGATAGATTAGAAAGGAATATCAAAAAACTAGAAATAGAGGGATGTAGCAACTATTGAAAAATACACAAAAATTATAAATGAGTAATTATAGTAAGCACGCCTGACTGTATTTAAGATATCTAAATATCAAACAGTGATCTATATTTCAAATTATACCATAGGTATGGACAACTAATATAGTTTTAAGTAGTGATATTAGTCAGGCCTAGCATAATGCAGATGATGTTTTAACTAGAGAGGAAAACTATTTAAGAACTAGAGATCTACTTTCAGAAACTATGTGCAGTGAGAGTTTGCAAGAGTGTGGAAACTTATTTTCAGAAAAATAAGAATACAACTCCAATATGATGTAACTTAATCAAAGCTCCTCACACTGAAGTCACAACATTGCTGTTTGTTTTGTCAGTCTATCAAATTGGTCATAATTTCTGAATATGGATGAAAACAAGAATGAAAAGGATATTAACAGAAGGGAACAAGCAAAAACTGGATTAAGGTATAACATGTCCAATTATAAGAGGACTTTGTTACATTCTGTCAAAGACCAACTCCCCTATAAGTTAAAGCTATTAGATAGAAATTGATGAATGGTATCAAATTTCTAATTTGCCCTTTCATGTAAAAGCTCATGGGACTTGAAGTCTAGGGAATTCTTATATTGATGATAGTCAACATTATGTAGAAGAATGGAGGTGACAAGGTTTGAACTTTCGTCCATATAGTTGTTATAGGGGACCTAATACTATGTCAAAGACCGACTCTCCTAAGAGATTAAGCTATTAGGTAGAACTGCAGAAGCCTATGAATGGTTTTGTATTTCTAATGCAATCTATGGTTTATTGATAATGGAATAGCATCAATCACTGCTAGTTTAAGTAATATTCTAATTTCTCTATTCTTGGTATATTCAGTTTTGTTTACTAATAACTAATAGCTTATCCACAGAATTTTGGCCTGTTTCTTTCTCGTTTTCCTGCTTTTCTCTATCTTTTGCTGTTCTTGAATCCTTATGTTTGTAATGGTACTGAAGGACTCATCTTTAACTTCAGGATATCTTAGAGTGCATTTTTCCTATTCCTTTTCCATGCTCTTCTGAAAAACTTAATGCAATACAACACAATACTACTTGAACTGTAGCCTAAAAGTTTTTCCTTCTGTCAGCTTAGTATCTTCCTGATTTTTCTCTTCCCCACTTTTGACTGTTAGGAGGGGGTGAAAAAAATAGTTTATGTCTTTGATATTTCTGCAAACCTTGTGGCACCTCAGTGCTTCTAAAACAATTTTGTAATCATAACATTCATTGATAATTGGATTGTCTGAAGTTTATGCAGGCTTCTATTGATGATGATTCTAATCATAATATGGAGTTTGCTTCTGGGAATGTGCAACTTATTACTACCAAAGAATCTTGGGACCAAAAGTTGGAACAAGCAAAGAGGGACAGTAAAATTGTAAGTTTTACTCTTATTTTGTAGCACATTAGTGTTAAAGGTTACCTGAAGGTCAGTTACCATTTTATTTGTATTGTTTTGCTGAACCCTTATTAATTTACCTGGCTTTACCGTGCATTTGTGTTGGTAACATGAATAAATCTGTGTTTCCAGTTCTTGCAGCTAAGCCTCCCTAGTTTTTTTTTTTTTTGTGAACTTTATGCATATATCTTTAGAAAAAGTCCTCATTCAATTCAATTGACAAACTGTAGCTTCCACCTAGTTTTCTTCAACACCTTTTATAATGCTTGTTGATGATTGAAAATATTTTGAAATTATAGGGATTTAGGCGGGGAAGTAGGAAGAGAGCTTCGAATAATATTTTCAGTGCATATAAAATACAAGTGGCTAAACATATAAATTTAGGAAATAGAGAAAGACTACCAATAAATGCAAAAACAATCAATTACAAATAATAATGCTAATAGGAACCAAGAATTGGGAAAGAGGAAAAATAAAAAAAGACTTTATTTCTTGACTGCAAAGAACAAAAATAGGAGATAAAACTCTCCTCCAAGGGTTTCCCCTTCACAAAGGATTTCTCCTCTCACATAGAGCTACAACTCAATTTACAATTGAAAAGATATGAATGAATTCCATCTCCCACAGTCCTATTTACAAAAAACTAATTTTCTAACCAACTCTCCTTCCCTGCAGTCGTAACAAATGCTGATTACACTAAATATAGTTCAAGTATTTGGCTACATTGATTATGCTAACACAATATGCATGCTCTGATTTGGAATTAGGAGGTATTACTGATTTCTTGTCATTCAATTTGACATAATATTTGAAAGGACTTGCGAAGTAATTTTAATTAACAGGAATTGATAGGCTTGAGAAATGATCCACTAATTTGGAAGGAATACCTACTGACTAGTAAAAACACCAAGGAGACACAGGACAGATCACAGTAACTGAAGGAAGAAGACAACCTGCTCATCAGGATTGAGTCTCTTCTCTTTCAAAGGCTTTGGGCCTTTGTTCCAACTAAACTAAGCCCAATTTCAATCTGCTAGCCTGGTGTAACAGAAGGGATATGATATAACATTGTATTCTCAAAATTGGCATGGGTAGATCCTATAATTTATTTTTAAACTTTGTTAAAGGATATAGGTGGCCTGTTATTTACACTTGGACTTTGTGAAGGACAATTTGGGTTCTTGTATCTTTGAAATTGATTATACTATGGCTGGTACAGTAATGGTGTAGAATTTGTGAAAGTTTCTGAGGGCAAACTATCATGGACATGGTTTTGAGTTTTTTATGTATGAAACCATAGATTCTGTCCACATCATCATGCATCCCAAGCACATGATGTCTGTCCATTTCAGACCCCCATTTGGAAGTTTTTCTCTCTACACTAATTATTGCACATGGAGATATTTTTTAATTACTTGAAGACTTTTCAGTATGTCTTTTGTCACATCCTCCTCTCCCCTCTCCCCATCCCCCCCCCCCCCCAATCTTCATTAGTATACTTTATAAGTTTATATCCTTTGCGTGCATTAGTTAATTCTAAAACTTCATGTGTAACAGGTTATTGCAAATTTCAGTGCAACATGGTGTGGTCCTTGTAAGATGATTGCACCATATTATAGCGAGTTGTCTGAGAAATACCTCTCTATTATGTTCTTATTAGTCGACGTGGATGAACTAACTGTAAGTAGAGAAGCTACGGATATTATTATTAGTATTATTTACTTGAGGCTTAGTAAAAACATATTAACTAGTATTTCCCTAAAGTATAAAAATATGATTTCAAAGTTCCTCCTGTGGTCAATATCCTACTTTGATGCACACTAGGCAACAGAGAAATCTTTGAGGAAATCCATAATCAAATATGAAAATTTCTTGGATGATGATGTAGTTTCTCCCTGGTGGATGTTATAAATGGGAACTAAATCATCGTCCTAGTATAACGTTAATGAACAAGGTTTTGTTTAATTGTTTGTTGCAGGACTTCAGCACTACGTGGGACATCAAAGCCACGCCAACTTTCTTCTTTCTTAAAGATGGAATTGAGGTTGACAAACTTGTTGGAGCCAACAAGCCCGAACTACTGAAGAAGATTGTTGCGATTACTGATGTAGTGCCTCATAATCAATAGTGTAATTGTTTTTTTATATCTATTCATGGAAGCTACGCTCTTCTTTTCTCTCTTT